GATATGCTATTCCATACATAACCCTATACTGTATACTTCATGAATCAATAAAAAATTTACAATTTTTAATTATAAACTTGTGTTTTCTATCAAAATTACTTCTTGTGTGAATTTTGGGACACCTTTAGTTGTACTGACTCGTACTGGACGTCTCAGGTGAGGTCCGGGTGGTGGTGACTGCTGGTGGCAGGAACGGGCCTTGACAAAAGTGAGACTCACACCCTAGAGTCTAGGCTAGTCACTAGCCGGATGGATGCAGGGGCTTAGCTGGTGCCACCAGCAGCTGGCGGAGGTGAGCACAGCCCTGCACCTGCGTTCGGAGCCATTTACAGCCATGACCAGGCCCCGGGTGCCGGAGGGAGGGACCAGCCGGGGGATGTGTGAGAACAGACCCGCAGGGGACAGCCTCCCACGCAGGAGAAGCGCTTTGCCTCGGTCATAAGCATGAAGCTAGCCTCAGACATTCATGTGTGTTCTGACAGTAGCCTCCCCCCCCTGAAGACAGAGCTTTGTGGAGTAAATTCTGTACCTTTCGTTCCTGGATAACATGGGTGAAGCTGTCCTTCTGGGTCACGCAGGGGCCATGCCCCAAGCAGAAGGCGTGGCCTCTGCCTCTCCCTGGACCAGTGCTGCTCACAGTGCGATGCACACACCACCTGCAAGTCCAGTTTAAAGCGCAGATCCAGGGCCCACGCCCAGACTCGCTGACTCAGAACCCCCCGTGGCCCAGGAATGTGCACGGAGAGCATCCTCAGGCACTCGCGCCGGGACCCACTGCGCCGACCCGTCTGCGACCTCCCTCCTCGCTCCCAGCACTTGACCTCGATCACATCTCGGCTCTATTGCTGTTGACTGAGCCTCCAACTTCCCATCTGGAAGATAAAGAACAGTCTGACCCGCTGCTCGGTGTTTGTCTGACGTCCTTTGAAATCCTGAGATCAGAGGAGCCAGATAAACACAGAGCTGTTATTTATCAACCCTTCGCTGGCAAAGGGCCCGTCAGCACTTTCTTTTGCGTCTGCGCTAAACCTGCTACAGCCGGGAGGGCCTGGGAGCCACAGAATTGATCATTTCCCTCTCATTCCACACGGACGGGCAGGTGGAAATGTCTCAAAGAGCTCCGGGGACATGTTCCCCCTCCTGGCAATATTCTCAGTCACATCTGCCGACTGCCCCCCCGGCCCAGTGGGCCCCGAGTGTATGATCTACTCGAGTCTCCGAAGGTCTCACAGCCCAGCCTCTGAAGCCAGAGACTCCGCACTACCCAGCCACTCAGTCCCCAGGGGCACAGGTGAGCTCTCTGCAACATAACTCAGACACTGGGTGACCAACCCTTACTCAGGGACGTGCTGTGCACACAGATCTCCAGGCCTTTATGACCCTATATTCTTCCCCTGGTGACGATGCCACTGAAATTGTGACAAGTCATGAAAAAGCACAAATCCTACCATGTCGGAGACGTAGAGCGGGGCACACAGCAGACTAGAGACTTGGACACTTTATGGCGGGTGGAAGGGTCTGCGCGCTGCGGGGGGGGACCTGCCGTCGGAGATGTGGCCCAGGGGACCGCCGAGCGCCCTGCAGAACTCCCAGCTCTTCCCACAGGGGCGGGAGGTGAGAGGAGGTAGACCAAGGATGTGAAAAAATACAGATTTTCTGACAAAAGGGACACATGCGCCTTGGAAAATTCTGTTGCTATTGAAATGCCTAAAGTGATAGTATTTGCCTCCCACCCCACAATGTTAAAGGGACACATGCGCCTTGGAAAATTCTGTTGCTATTAAAATGCCTAAAGTGATACTAATAGTCTTTGCCTCCCACCCCACAATGTCGGAATACACCTCCTACCCCCAATGTAATTACTGCGAACAATTTCTGTATCTCTTTCCGTTAATTCTTTGAAACACATGCAAACACATACGTATTTATAGATTCTTTTAAAGATAAAATGGGATCACACAAAAGGCATGTTTTAAGATGTCGTTTTTATTATGATGATGCAGGTCTGGTGAGGCCAGCAGACAGGAGACAGCTGTCCCTGGGAAGGCGGTTTGTCACTCACAGTTCCCAAAGGAGGGGCACGCCAGCTCCCGGGGCCACTTGGGGAAGCCCAGTCAGGAGGCGGAGGATGGGGGAGGCATGAGGAAGAGCCTTCGCTATGGGTTTTGTGGGAAGAAATGAGCGGGGCAGGGGGAGCAGGTGAGGCAGGTTTAGGGTTAGTAAATGAGAACGAGATGTAGGACTGGCCTCGCTGCCTGGGCCTGGCCCTGGGGAGACGAGGGCAGGGACCGTGGCTCCCCCAGGGAGAACTCAGGACAGGGGGCCCTCCTGGCCTGGGCCCTGGATTGGTTGGCCTCAGGAATTCTGAGGACACAGGCTACCAATATTCTTTTAGATGCCCTTGAGACAGTCCCCTTGGGGTGAGTGCCTAGACCACATAAAGCCAACCCCTTTAGGACCCTCCCTGCCCCAAGGAGACCCTATCTTCCACCAGCGAACTTCCACCTAGGACCCTACAGCCTCGGAGAAAGGGAGCCCAGGGTGCTCTGGCCCCATCTCTCCAAATTCCTGAGGAAGAGAGAGCTCTGCCCTTTCTGGCTCTATTCCTTGTCATTAGATGCTACCACTAGTGGGTCCCTTTCCATCAAAGCCTTCTCCTGCGGGCAGTCACAGCAGCCCCAAGGGGACTGTCTCAGGGGCATCGGGAAGGGTATTGAGGGCCTGTCCTGAGAATTGCCCTGCGATTCGGCCGGAGCCTCTTACCCGTGCTCTGAGCCCCGGAGTGGGGCTGCCCCCGGGTTCCCGAGGAGCAGGAGAGAAAAGGCGCCCTGTCTGGGCGGGAGGGCAGGCAGAAGGGGACTCCCCGGTCCTGAGACAAAGGGCTCTGGGGCTTGAGGCTTCACTGACTCCTGGGGTGGAGGGGGGGGGCGGCTCAGGACCGGGCAGCAGACTTGAGTGCAGGCCCCTAGGAAGGCTTCGCTCTTCCCCTGCCTCTGCCCAGCTGAACGCAGCCGTGAGCAAGGCCAGGAGCGATGAGGCCAGCCTGGGCCTCAGGGGGGGCTTCTGGCCTGGTGTCCTGCACCTGCTGTTCGGCCCATCACACTCGCTGCCACAGAGACAGTCATGAGTCCTCAGAGGCGGCCGAGTGGAGTTAAACAGGTTGATGGAGCTGATAGGGAACTAAAGCCCGGAGCCCTCAGCACCTCCCTGGGTTCCCAGCCAGCCAGCGCGCGAAGGGATGCGAGTCCCCGCTGACCCGGTAACTGACCCGTCCGAGCACGGGTTCTATAGACAGGAATGCGATCGCTCCCAGGGAAGCACATCCGCATCTGAAGTTACTGGGTCACTGCGCCCAGAGGAAGGCGGCCTGCTACAGGGAGAGCTGACATGCTCTCCTCCATGTCATCCTGGACAGGAATAAATGGAATAAGAGAGGTTACGTTTCCAGAGCGCTTTTTTTGAAGAGTTCAATGCCAGAGCACTGGGACACATTGCTTTGCCACGTTTCCTTTATAAAAACTCCCTTTAACATGTCCAGACCCTGTGTGTCACTTCCAGAGACTCCAGGAGGCCTTAGTACAGTGGTTCTCAACCTTCTGGCCCTTTAAATACAGTTCATGTTGTGACCCAACCATAAAATTATTTTCATTGCTACTTCATAATGTTGTAATGTTGCTACTGTTATGAATCGTCATGTAAATATCTGATATGCGGGATGGGCTTAGGCGACCCCTGTGAAAGGGGTCTCGACCCACAGGTTGAGAACCGCTGCCTTAGTAGAATGAAGCTCCTGCATGTGGCAGCCCCCAGGGAAGGGGACTCCGGGCGGGCGAGTCCCAGCAACCTGCCCCCTCCCGACTGGGCCCAGGGGGCTCCGCTGTGGAGTCTCAGGGCCGCGGTGTCCTCTGCACCAGGCGCTGGGCACAGGGACAGACGAGACACGTTAGGGGGCCACTGTGACTCCACACGGACAGGGTGCGCTGTGCGGGTTTGTACCCACCTCCCTGGCCTTTTGGGGCACTGTGGATTCCCAGCGTGGGCTAGCCACAACCCACCTTGCCCCGGGAGGGGAGGTTTCTTGTGTCTGACTCGGGACTCTGGCTGGTTGCTAACTTTTCTCTTCTGGCAGCCGGGGCTGGAGAAGAAGGGCCGGCCTGGGAGGGAGGGAGTGGCGGGCACTGCTCAGTGGCCTCCGGGTCCTCATGGCCCAGAGTTCCTAATGCGGAGGAAGCGGCCTCAGGGATCCGACGTCAGCAGGAATGGAACTCCCTGAATCTGTGATGTCATAAGAAAACGGAAGTGATTCCCCAATGTTTTTAATATTTTTATTGATTTCAGAGAGGAAGGGAGACAGAGAGGAAGATAGACACATCAAAAATGAGAGAGAATCATTGATTGGCTGCCTACTACACGCCCCCACACTGGGAATCAAGGCCACAACCGGGGCATGTGCCCTGACCGGGAATCGAACCATGTCCTCCTGGTTCAGAGGTCGATGTTCACCCACCGAGCCATGCCAGCTGGGCTCCTGAATGGTTTTCTAATAGATGTATTACAGCTCCCCTCTCTGAACCCATAACTAGGGCATTATAACCTCTGACTTTCAGGACAACCAGCAGTGACGCTGGTCCAGAATGCTACCACACAGGCCGCTGAGGCAGCCGCAGAGCCCACTTTGGGCAGCGAGGCAGTCCCAGCATTGCCGGCTCCTCCTGTAATTCTAAGCTGAAGCCTTCCACCACTACCCACTGCTGTGTTCCACCACTGCCCACTGCTGTATTCCACCACTGTCCACTCCACCACGTTTCCACCAGTCCACTCCATCATGTGTTTCCACCACTGTCCCCTCCACCACTTTTCCACCACTGCCCACTGCCATGTCCCACCACTGTCCACTCCACCACCTGTTTCCAGATAGCGCCATCAGATTCCCTTCCACCACGTGTTTCCACCACTGTCCACTCCACCACGTCTACCACTGTCCACTCTACCACGTGTCTACCACTGTCCACTCCACCACGTGTTTCCACCACTGTCCGCTCCACCACGTGTTTCCACCACTGCCCACTCCACCACTTTTCCACCACTGCCCACTGCCGTGTCCCACCACTGTCCACTCCACCACCTGTTTCCAGACAGTGCCATCTGATTCCCCACAATAACGAGCAAATTCATGGCTCTGGAGGAAATAAAACTAGGTCTTTTCTTTCCTATTCCCTAGTGCTAACTTCACGAGACAGTGATAAAGGAACATTCTGATCCTCTTAAGCACTAGCGTGGCAAATGAATAAAGGTGAGTGAAAATTCCCCGCGCTCACTCTGTATCGATGCCTGTGGAATCAGTTCCACCGCTGCCAGCAGCGGGGGAGTCCTGAATGCGTGGCCGCGGGACTCGGCATCGTGGAAGTAATTGGATGGCGGCACCCTCAGCACCGCGTTCAGGACAGAAGCTGTGCCTTCGCTATTAGCGGGGGTGGGATGGCGGAGGGCTGCTGGCTTCACTCTGTGTCTTCTTCGCATTGTCTTGTCAGGAGGAGCCACTATCCAGTCCCAAGTGAGCCTGGCAGTGCCCCCTCCATGCGGTGTTTAAAACGCTTCCCTGGTGAGATGGGAACACTTCCTTTGTTCCCGTCTTTAAAATTAACTGTAGAGTTTTACCCCCACCAGTGAGGTGTTTAAATCAAAACTGCCTTCCCTGGTGAGAAGAAAAACACTTTGTTTCCTTCCTTAAAATTAACTGAGGTTTTTTGAAAATGCATCCTATTCAACCAGCGTAGGAGGGGAGAAGAGACGGGGGTTTTAAATGCTGCTTTTGGTGGCTCTTCGAAGGTTTCCAGCACATTCTTTCTAAATGTCTAGACCCCTTCGCGAACGCTCTGCTGTCCTCTGCTTTCTCCCCCTCCCCATTGCATTTTAGAGCATTGGTCTCACTGGTGTGACCCTTGGCAGGGCGTTAGCAGGAACCCGCTGGATGAAGGAATGACTCCATGAGCCCAGATATTCCTTAGGAGCCGGCACATTTTCCACAAGCCCACGCTCAATGGAGTTAAAGAAATAGCTTATTAAAATTACAATTGGTTTCCAGGATTAATAACGAGGGGGTGCGATAGATTTGGCTAATGGTGCTCCCTGCCCCATTTTTCTCAGGGGAGTCCAGAGGTGGCCCTAACTTTCCTAGGCATCCAGCTGGTCTTTGAGATGCGAGGCGCTCTGTGGTCACCGCCTTTTGCAAGGTGCAGCAGCATGGAGGAGAGAGAGAGGCAAAGTCTGGACTTCTACAGGTCAGAAGTCCACGTGGGGCACAGAGGAGAAGATAACGAACCAAGCTACACCCTCCCCAGATAAACTCTCCAAAGGAAAGGGGAGGGGAGGGGAGGAAACCGATAGGGTGAGACTGCGGGTGTTTCCCTGTGCAGTACCCGGGGTCTGCCACCTTACCCCCAGCCTGGGCTTCAGAGGGAGGGGGGAAAGGGAAGGAGAGGTGAGGAAGGAGGATGAAAACCCCAGTTGGCTTGGGGGATCCTTGAGCAGGTGTGGCCCAGGCCTCATTCTCAGCAGGACCCGGGGAAGCCGCATAGCACCCCTCCTCCGCGCCGCGGGTGGCCTGGCGAGGAGAGATGTCTGCGGGGTGTCTGAGCTAGTGGACCTGAGAGAGCCTCAGAGAGCGCCTGCATCCAGCAGGGATGACGACCAGTGGATGCTTACTACACCTGGAGACGCACAGTGGGTGCTTACTACACCTGGAGAGGCATGAGCACAGCAAGGAGAGTCCTCTGAGCTACAGAGGCCCCACTGCAGGGATGAGGAGGAAGCAGTGGCCTACAGGGACCTAGACGGACCAAAAACTGATAGGGGAGATGGCTATTTCAAGGGATGCTGGGCACTCCTCACCTCAACCCCCAGCTCCAGCCCCTGTGCTTCAACACTATAGGAGTTCCCTGGAAAGGATGCTCGAAATCCTGAAATGCAACTGAGTCTCCCCACCCTCTTCCTGGAACTGGACTTTAAAACAGAAAATGAATTCAACCATAGAAAAACAGCTACATCTCTCTGCACACTGTGGGTTTCTGGACTGAGATTTGTACCTGCTAAAACACAGTTCATTTGTAAAGGTATTATTTTCATAAACCAAAGAACTAATCATCAAAACTGCATCATCTATAATAATAAAAGCATAATATGCTAATTAGACTGGAAGAAGCCGGGGTTTCAGAAAATGAATTCAACCATAGAAAAACAGCTACATCTCTCTGCACACTGTGGGTTTCTGGACTGAGATTTGTACCTGCTAAAACACAGTTCATTTGTAAAGGTATTATTTTCATAAACCAAAGAACTAATCATCAAAACTGCATCATCTATAATAATAAAAGCATAATATGCTAATTAGACTGGAAGAAGCCAGGGCTTCGAGGGAAGTCAGTGCTGGCAGCCAGGGGAAGGAAGGTCTACTTTTGCACGAATTTTGTGCATCGGGCCTCTAGTTACCAAATAAAACTTAAAACACATTTCTAAAGTTCACTTATTGAATGTAAGCTATGTACCAGGTACTGACCTATTCTCTTTAATACACGACCTCTTTTACACGACCCCCATTTTACAATTAAGACAATGAAGACTTAGAGAAGTTAAATAATTTGCCCAGGGCCACAATGGTGGTACAAAATGGAGCCAGAATTCAAACCCAGGAAGGTCTGACTCCTAAAGCAATACTGTTAACTAATGTAAGCGACACATGTCAACTCATCTGGCTTCCCAGCTCACTCCACGAATACTTCTAGGTCCTCTGCTGCTCATTCAAGGCAATAGTTACCAAACCCAAGTTTGCATGCCCAACTCTTCAAAGGACAAAATAAAAAAATGTCAGAGTTTGGAGTAAGGAAAGTTTTATTGACCAAGAAGGTGCCAACTGAGAAGATGGGAGACTTAATGGTACCTCAAACGTATCTTGCTCGCTGGATGAGACTAAGGGATTTTAAGGGGTTCGGAGGAATAGGTACGGGGAAGTGCTGGTGGGGCAAGTTTTAATTGAAGGACCTTGGAACTTGGCCATTTATGATAAAGGGTCATCAATACCAGATCTTCCTGGGCAGTGGACTCTGCTTCTGAAGGTTATGTCCTGATCCTTTAGCTTATGTCCTGGTTGTGTAGGGAGGGGGTGGGGAATGGCAAGATTTTGGTTCTGGGTGCAGCAGGAGGTCAAAGTTCTCTCATCTGTGTAACCTCTGGTTACCTGACATGAGGTTGCGGTCTGTTATCTCTTAAAAGCAACTCAGTATCTTGTTAAACAGGATAAAACCATTCTGAGCTGGTTCTGTGGTTGCACAATCACACACTTGTGCACAGGGCCCTAGAAAAAACAAAAACAAATGTCCTATCCTTCCTACTCCTAGTTTCCAAATTTCCCAATAATTAAGTGGATTATTACTGTTGCAATTTTAGTGCCTGCACCTCAGTTCTAAAGATTTTTTAAAATTGATTTTGAGACAGAGAAGAAAGGAGGCAGGGGAAGAGACGGAGAGAGGGGGGAGAGGGGGAGAGGAGGGGAAGGGGAGAAGGGGAGAGGGAAAAAGGGGGAGAAGGGGAGGGAAACACTGATGCAAGAGAGCAACACCCATAGGCTGCCTCCTGCACGGCCCCCATTGGGAATCAAACCGTCAACCTTTCAGTGCCCTGGAGGATGCCCAACCGAGCCACACTGATCAGGGAGCCTAGAGTTAACTCAGTTCCTATTTCTTTTGCAGCCACTACATCTTGTTAGTTAATCAAAATTCATTAAACTTCACCAAGGAGCAAAATGTGTCAGGAGACAAAATTCTAGACCAGAAGTTAGTTGACTACACTCCTTGGTTCCTCATGCTCCCCTTCCAATTGACCTTAGTCAGTCACTTAACTGCTCTGATCTCAGTTTCCTCATCTATAAAATAGTTTTAAGGTCCCTACCAGTTCTAACTTCCCAAGATTCTGAAGAACCAGGATAAAGCTGTTATTTTACGGGAACTTAAACTGTAATTCTTCAACTCAGAACTCTTCTCTGATCTCCATCTGTATCTTTCTCCCAGACTTAAATCTCCCACGTTCTGGGATCAGGCACAGGTGAAGGGTTTCACAAAGGGATGGAAAGTACATAGAATAATATCTCATCTTGTTGGTATTAGGAGGAACATAAAGACTAAAAAGAAAAAATCGTTTTCAGGAAGGCCCTTCATATCCTAAATAATGAAAGCCTAAAATGCTAAGAGTCCAGTCATCTGGACAGTGACTGGGTCTACTGTTCAACCAAAGTGTAATACGCTAATGACATGCTAAGACCGCTCAACCACTTGCTATAACGTGCACTGACCACCAGGGGGCAGATGCTCCGACCAGTAGGTTAGCTTGCTGCTGGGGTCCAACCTATCAGGACTGAGCGAAATGGGCTGGACACACCCTGGAGCCCTCCCTGGCCCCGATTGTGCACTGGTGGGGTCCTTCAGCCTGGCCTGCGCCCTCTTCCAATCTGGGACCCCTCGGGGGATGTTGGAGAGCCGGTTTCATCCTGATCCCGTAGGCCATACCCCCCTCCTCCTCCCCCATGTCAGGGCACCAGATACAGGGCTCTCGGCTGGCGAGTGCTGCTGCAGCAGGGTGAGCCTCTCTAGATGGGGACTGATTGGGTGCGAGCCCGCATCAGACACAGTGGGGCTGGGATGACTGCGGGTTTCAGCCCAATCCCTGCAGGCCACCCCAAGGGACCCCACCCGTGCACAAATTTGTGCACGGGGCCTCTAGTGACTATATAAAGAAACATAGCGCTATAAAAAGATTTTATAGCCACATTTTGGCTAAAATGTGGAGAAAAAGAAGTCATCCTGATAACAGACCCTCCCACAGGAGAACTGTCTTAGTCGTTTGAAACTGCTTCCTATCATCTGTTTTTGAAATTTTTTTTCTGGTATTTGGTGATTTTTCTGTTCACATGGCTGTTATCTCCATTTCCTTGAGTGTAAATTCTTTGGTTTATTGAGTTTGTCATTTTCCTTGCATGATATTGACCGTACTCAGATGTTTTATTATTCTTAGGGTGTACCCACGACTCATCTGTACAATCAGAATATTTCATACCCTTGGTGTGAGTGTTTATTTAAGGGATACACATGACACAACAAAACCAACGGATTTTTAACAGAAACTCAGACACTGGCAGAAACTCTCAGAAAAATAAACTCTGATGGACACATGCCATGCGTTACTAGGAACCATTTTGCCACTCTGTAGGAAGAGCTTGCCCAAGACTGAAGCTAACGCAGAGAAAGCCAAGTCTAGAGATGAGGAGAAACAGGCTGCCTGATTTCAATATACTGTTTGAGTACCTGGAGCCCAGGCTACTCCCTGGACTGTCAGTAACAGCCAATAAACTCCCTTTTTATTTAAGCAAAAGCCATTTTAAATCATAATTTTTGTCACTGGTAACTGAAATAAATCAAACTAGAATTTGTAAACCTGTAGAGAAAGTCCATAGTTCTCTACTTCTTCACATCAGTAGGTACCCAAAGAGCCTTTCTAAAACTGAGGTAATCGCTATGCCACAGGAAAAGGAGGTACAGGCATACCTCGGAGACATGGCCGGTTTGGTTCCAGAGCACTACGATAAAGTAAATATCACAATAAAGTGAATCATAGGAATATTTTGGTTTCCCAGTGCACATCAAAGTTCCGTTTACACTATACTACCTATAGCCTATTAAGTGTGCAACAAAATCATGTCTAAAAAACAATGTACATACCTTAATTTAAAAACACTTTATTGCTAAGAAATAAACTCTGAGCCTTCAGGGAGTTGCAATCTTTTTGCTGGTGGAGGGTCTTGCCTCGATGTTGTGAAAATGCAGTATCTGCCAATAAAGCACAGTGAGGCTTGAAGCCAGGTCTTCCTGGACAGTGGAATCACAGCTGACTTTCATTTACCTGTCGGTTTCATTCTCACAGCAGCAAACTCATGTACTGACATTTATTCATGTTGAGGTTTAACGTAAAACAAAATGGTCCGGGCAGAGCCATTTCCCTCCTCCACTGCACCCCACCGCACCCCATCCCACCACAAACCCCATTGATTTTCACTTGTTATCTCTCATCTTTTCTCTCTGAATCCCTCCAGACCAGAAAGAAATTTAGGAATTTGTCTCTTTATGGTGAGAAGGCCTTTAAAAATTAATAAGTGAATGCCATTTTTCCCAACTTTGCAGTCCATGGTCTATGCCCTGAATCTTTATATGCAAAGTCAACTGTATAGGAATAAAAAAAAAAACACATGCAGTTTTTCTGTCAAGCACCTGGTTCTTTCAAATAAGAACTTCAGCTTTCTGATTATATTGCCATTATTATAACTTAAAAAATAATTTTGAAATTCAGGCTCTATTTGCTCTCCATCCAAGGTAATGAAAACTATGGGTGGAAGGCTACAGGGCAACAACAAAAAAAGTGAGAACATTCTTGGTTTAAAATGCACGGCCGAATAAGCCCTGGCCGGGTGGCCAGTTGGTTGGAACATCATCCCCTGAACCTAAAAAAGGTCTTGACACATACGGGAGGCAGCAGATCCTTATTTCTCTCCTCTCTCTCCCTTCCTCTCTAAAAATCAATAAGGACAAGAAAAAGAAAAAAAGTGAAAAAAATCAATAAGAACATATCATCAGGTGAGGATTAAAAAAAACACCACCACAAATATCACCTAGGTATGTAATCATAGATTCTTTTACTTGATCTCCCCCCTGCCTAAGAATTCATGGAAGAAAAGACCGTAATATTTTCCATCTTAAATTGCATCTGAAGTTAAAGGGTTTCCTCATCCTTTCACCCCTCCAAAGTCTCAGCAATTTTCCCTGAAAAAGAAGAGCAAAACCTGAAGCAAAATCCCAAATTAAAAAATTTTGTTTTGCCTGTTTCTATGCCGTTTCTTTTGGCATGGCAGCAAAGTGGGCAATATGACTTTCACATAATACTGTAGTTAAATTTTTATTATTCCACCATGTATATAGGGTGGGGCAAAGGCCTACTCGAAAGTTTATTCTTGTATACATGTATTCTTAATGATTGTATTATTTGCCATATAAGCAACTGGAAACTACTTTTGCCCCACCCTGTATACATTACATGGCGTTTAGAAATTGTTATCTAAGTGACCATTTTTTTCTTGCTTATTCTAATTCAAGCACTTTTCAAAACCCACATTTAGTAAAAGGAAATGTTTCATTCCATAATTTAAAATCATTACATAGCACCTGTTGTAGCTTATCATTAACCTTAAAGTACACCTACACCTGAAATCGGAAACATACAGTAACCGGGCGGCAGTCAGTGCTAAGCGGGGACAGTGCAGGGAGAGGGAAGCAGCGCTGGGAGGGGCGGGATGGCGGTGGAGACACACAGGCTCTTCCCACGCCGCCTCCCGGCTGCCGGCCGCGGGCGTCACTGTTTCAGGAAACATGCAGGACGTCCTGTCCTCTGCGCGGCGGGGTTC